ATATATGCCCAGAAGTGGGATTGCTGGATCAGATGGTAGTTCTATCTTTACTACTTCCTTGAGGAACCTCCGTACCGGCTTCCATAGGAGCTGTCCCTACTCACATTCCCCACAGTGCACGGGGGCTTCCTTTCTTCCACATCCTCACCCACACTCACTACCTCTTGCCTTTTGGGTAATGACCAGGCTAACAGGTGTGAGGAGATACCTGATTGTCATTTTGATTTGCATTTCCCTGATGATTAGTGATGTTAAACATCTTTTCATGTACCTGTTGGCCATTTGTATGTCTTCTTTAGAAAAAAATCTCTATTCAGGTCTTCTGTCCATTTTTTAATAAGACTGTTTGTTTTTTGCTATTGAGTTAGTTGTATGAGTTCCTTATATATTCTGGATATTAACCCTTTATCAGATAGACGGTCTGCAAATGTTTTCTCTCATTCCATATGTTGCTGTTCATTTTGCTAATTGTTTCTTCTGCTATGCAGAAGCCTTTGCTTTGATGTAGTCCTGCTTACTGATTTTTCTTTTATTGCTTGGCTTTTGATGTAATATCCAAAAAAAAAAAAAAAGTTGCCAAGAGCAATGGCAAGGAGCTTTTTCCATTTTTCCTCCCAAGTTTTGTGGTTTCAGGCTTATGTTTAAGTCTATAATTCATTTCAAATTAATTTTTGTGAGTTTGTAAGATAAGGATCCTATTTTGTTCTGGTGCATGTCACTGTCCAGTTTCCCCAGCACCATTATTGAAGAGACTATCTTATCTTCATTGAGTATTTTTGGTTCCCTTGTCAAATATTAGTTGAATGTATTTATGAGGGTTTATTGCTGGGCTCTCTATTCTGTTCCATTGATCTTAGTGTCTGTTTTCATGCCAATACCCATACTGTTTTGATTACGGTAGCTTTGTAAGATAGCCTGAAATCAGAAAGTGTGATGCTCCCAGCTTTATTTTTTCTCAACTAATTGCTTTAGCTACTCAGGGTCTTTTGTGGTTCCATATGATTTTTAGTATTGTTTTTGCTATATCTCTGAAAAATGCCATTGGAATTTTGACAAGGACTATAGCGAGTCTATACATTACCTTGGGTCGTACAGACAGTTTAACAATATTAATTCTTCCAATCCATGAACACTGGATGTTTTTCCATTTCTTTGTGTCTTTTTCAATTTCTTTTACTAGACTTATAGTTTTCAGTGTATAGATCGTTCACCTCTTGTTAAATTTATTCCTAAGTATTTAATCGTTTTTGATGCTATGGTAAATGAGATTGTTTTATTTATTTCTTTTTCAGATATTTCATTGTTAATGTATAAAAATGCAACTGATTTTTGTATATTGATTTTGTATCCTGCAACTTTACTGAATTTGTTTATTAGTTCTAACAGTTTTTTAGTGGGGTCTTTAGGATTTTCTATCTGTAAGAGCATGTCATCTACAGAGACAATTTTACTTCTTCCTTTTTTGGACTGAATGAGCAAACATCTTTGGCAAGGAGACAACTCTCAGGGGTGCCACCCCCCATGCCTTTCCCCCACCCATCTAATCTATACAACATGGGCTCTGATAAGAGACTTCTGCCCTTTGGCAGTCCCTTCTTCAGCATCCTGTTCCTCTTTGGTTTTGCAACAGAGGCCTAAGGCCATTTATCTTTCTTGGCCATTGCTATAGACTGAATGTTTGTGTTCCTCCAAAATTCCTATGTTTAAACTTAATCCGCAGTGTGTTGGTATTTGGAAGTAGGGCCTTTGGGAAAAGATAAACATAGGGTAGAGCCCTCATGAATGGGATTAGTGCCCTTATGAAAGAGACCCCAGAGAACTCCTTCACCCTTTCCAACATGTGAAGACACAGTGAAAAACAGCCATCTATGGACCAGGAAGTGGACCAGACACCAAATCTGGAGCCTGCTTCCCCCTCTGCCTGCCCTTCTCCCTGCTTGTCCTCTCTCTCTCTCTCTCTGACAAATAAATAAATAAAATCTTAAAAAAAAGAGAGGGAGAGAGAATCTCAAGCAGACCCCTGGCTGAGTACAGAGACGGATGTGGGGCTCAGTCTCACGACTCATGAGATCATGGTCTGAGCCCCATGAAGAGTCAGATACTTAACCAAGTGAGCCACCCAGGTGCCCCAGCCTGGGAGATTCTGACAGAGTCTTGGCTATATCTTATAACTAAAAGCTTCTTGGTGTTCAGGGCAAGTAGCTGCCCTCAGTGGATCTGAAAACATTACTCTTAAAAGAATAAAACTTCTCTTCCCTACCCATCACCACCTCAGTCATATTCAGATAGACACCGAGGAGGATAAGTACCCTTGGCTAAGAATTTGTATGGCCCTTTGCTGGAGCCCTAAGCTCAAACTTCCTCTCCATGTAGCTAAAAGAGGAATCAAGAATTAAGTGGATATAGGACAAGTTTGGATCCAGTTTCTACTTTGGTCAGTTCTAGAAAAGGCTCTATTTAGAAGCAGAAGATTAAAATTGGAACCCCTATGCATGGCTGGTGGGAATGTAAAATGGCGCTGTCACGTGGAGGCTGGTTTGGCAGTTCCTCAAACAGATAAACATAGACTTGCCATGAGACTCAGCAGTTCCAACCCTGGGTATAGACACAAAAGAATTGACAACAGGGACTGAGATACTTGCGTGGCAGTGCTTACTGCACTATTATTCACAGTGAGCAAAAGGTGGAAACAAAGCAAGTATCCATCAACAGATGAGTGGATAAACTACATGTGGAATATCCATACGAAGGACTATTATTCATCCATAAGGAGAGAACAAGTCCTAATACCTGCTACGACACAGATGAATCTTGAAAACATGCTGGGTGAAATAAACCAGACACAGAGGGACAAACATTTTATGATTCAAGTTTTGTGAAATATCCAGAAGAGGCAAATTCATAGAGACAGAAAGTAGATGAAAGGTTACCAGAGGCTAGGGGTAGAGGGGATGGAGAGTTATGTTCTTCATGGGTTCAGAGGTTTTGTTTGCAGCAATGAGTAGGTTTTGTACATAGATAGTGTTAATGGTCGCATAAGATTGTGGATGTAATTAATACCATGGAATGACACACTTAAAATGGTTAAAATGGCAAATTTTATCTCATATATATATATGAGATATATACATATTTTATATACATATATAAAACCAAAATTTATATGTATATTTTATATCGACACATAACCAAAAAATATATATGTAAAATTTTTTAAAGAGCTTTAAAAAAAAAAATGGTAGCGGAGGAGAATGCATTTTTGACCCTAAAAGCTGGATGTTTCAAACCAAACAGAAGCTGCATTGCAATAAGTAAATGTAAAGTAGGTCCAACTGCATTAAAATAAAGGACTTCTGTTATGGTTAAAATTTAAAAACTCAGGGGATTTAGAGGAGGAGCCGAGATTCTGCAGAATAATGTGAAATTCTGGAGATACATATTCTTCCACCCTTCCTGTGGGTTTGGACTGTCTCAACTCTGAAAACCAAAGTTTGTTCTTTGACGGGTGCGCATGTATGTGGTTCCCTCAACATCTGCATGGTGAGGAGGGGTTCGCATGCTTGTCCGGCCCCCATGCTGCCCCGTGGGTTCTCTTCGGGCTCCCATCGAGCGTTGCCCCAGACTGAGTGACCCAGACTTGGAGAAATGTCCCGCTGGGGACGGCAGTGGATCCCACAGTGAGACCCAACCTGTGGGGAGGGGCCACGTTTTCCTGCAAGGTGCATGAAATGGGCCATAATGAAGTCCACAACTCCCCACTTCTGAGATGTCCAAGCCCAGACAGCTTACCATCTGCCTCAGTGTCTTCATCTCTAAGATGGGTCATGAGAGTACCTACCTCACGGGGTTTCAGTGAGGATTACATGGTTTGAAGTGTGGGAAGCACCTAGAAGTACTTAGCACACAGAAAGCACTTGATGGTAGTTATTGATATTAATTATCTGAATATTTGACATAAGGGACACCTGAGGGGATGGGAACCCGGTTAGGGCCAGGGTCTGCCATTGAGGGGAACCCTGTGAACGATGGAATTTCTTGGGTTATGAATGGCTCTGAATATACCATTCTATACTACAATTTTTCTGAATTACCTAAAGCATCATATCAAACCTGCACAGTTTTAGGAAACAAAGTGTCCGGATGGTAAGAGAGAGTGAGGCCTGCCCCAGGAGAAGCAGCCCCCACCACATGGGGACTGTGCCAGAGCCCAGGAGTGAAGGAAGCAGGGGTCTGAGGGGGAGCCTGCAACCTGCAGAGGGGCCCAGACACTCGGGGGCATCCAGTGAGACTTGGAGGTCAAAGATTCGCTAGAGGACACTGGTGGACAGGGAAGGAACAGAGTGGGGAACAGACACATGGCTAACCTGGGAAGCATTTTCTCCGAATTTTCTCCTGTATTCCTACCTTCCTGACCATGTGAGATTACAGAGCACTTAAGAGCAAAACCCAGCCCACATTGAGTGTTCTGGTCTCCATGCAATGAATACAAAGGGATTACTGGCAAAGTCACCGACCAGGGCTTCTGCGAACACTGGAAGAAAGCAGGTGTGAAATCCATTCGGATCTTGCCCGTTTCCGCCCTCATCACACCCACCCCAAGTCAGAGAACCACCCGGCAGAACATGCAAAGATCACAACACAAAAACAAGGACCAGCGTGTCTTAGTTTCCAGCTACAGGTTTATTTCCATGACAAAATCGATTTGTAGAGGTCACAGGACTGCCACAGACGCCAGACTCGCCTACAAGGGAGCACAGACAGATGGACTCTGCTCCCCGCCGCCCTGGTGACTGAGGGAGGGCAAGCAGAGCAGATCCAGGGGGCTCGCTGATTCTGTGCGGGGGACGGGAAAGCCCAGGGTGGGGGGAGGATGGATAACACGGGTACTGCATGGGGGGGGGTGCTTTCAGCGAGGCGGGAGAACACCATGCCCGTAGCAAGAAGGCCCTCGCCCCCCACCCCTGCCCCCAGCCCAAGGATACCGCCCGGGGTTGTTACGAAGTCTGCCCACGTGTCCCAACAGCAAAGCACAGATAGCTTAAGCAGCCGGAGCACAGAAACATCCAAAGAGCAAAAAGGCAAAGCGTTCTGGGGATTAGGGATTGATTTTCAGCCCAAGACACAAAGCCAGCTCGGACTTCTGAATTTTTCCATCCTTGTTCACATCGCAGTGGCGCAAAAGAATCTCCCGGAACTTATCAAGTTCCACTCCGCTGATGCTGGGCTGAGGACAGCGAAGATCACACGTCAGTGGGCCAGCCAGTGGTGGCCCCAGCCTTTTGTGCCAGCCCTGCCCCGCCCCATGCTCACTACATGCAGGGACCCCCTGCCTGCTGAGGGGGGCTCCGTGAAGACAGGCCGTGCCCCGTGATTCCAGCTCCTCGTCGTGATAAAGATATTTTGCCTCGGAGCAGGCGATTGTCGCTACAGATCCTGCCTTGCCACACAGACCCACAGAGACGACCCATTTTACTCTCTCCCTGTAGGAGGTTTTTGTGCCTCTAATTTTATTTTATTTTAATATTTTATTAATTTATTTGAGAGACAGCCCAAGCAGAGGGAGAGGGAGAAGCAGACTCCCCACCAAGCAGGGAGCCCGATGCAGGGCTCGATCCCAGGACCCTGGGATCATGACCTGAGCCAAAGGCAGACGCTTAACCGACTAAGCCACCCAGGCACCCCATGTGCCTCTAATTTTAAAAAGGGTTGTAATGAATGAAAATCGAACTAGAACAGTATGTCCCCGAGCTGCAGATGTTGGATTTATTCCAAGGGATATTTTAGGGGCTAAGAAGGAACCGTGATACGCACCAGTTGGGAAAAGAATATCAAACTCAAAAGGCCTGCAAAAGTGAGCAATTGCATGAACTGAGTGGTTCTCCACAGGCTATTTCATTTAATGCTCACGATAACCTTGGGGTAACCCAGGCTCACAGATTAGGACACGGACGCTCAGAGCTGAACCGTCCTACCAAGCTAGGGAATTTCAACAGCATTCCTGATCCTGAGTCTTCTGCCTCCAATGAAGTGCGTGCTCTCATCCCCTCAGTTCACACCATTGTGCTGGAGAGGCGGCGGTCTGACCGGCGGTGTGAAGGCTTGGGGTCTAGATGAAAAAGCCCATGTCCACAGAGAGAGGAAACCCAGGTCATCAGATTCCAAACCCCTTGATTACTGGGCTAGTCTCACCAGCGAGCAGAGGAGGAGGCTGTGTGCAGGGTTTGGCTTTAGGAGCCAGGGAAGCTCTCCCCGTCACCCAGCCCGACCCGGGGCTACCTTGCTGCCGAAGAAATCTCCAAAAACCTTGAGTAGGAAACAAAACCTTTCATTCTTCAACTAGAAAGCTGAATTAAGACGAGCTAATCTGCACTGTCCCACAGGATAGATGAGTGACACCAAGTCTATCCGTGATCCCAGGTTTTCACGGAGGGAAGGATGGAGGGCAGAGAGCAACAGGACCTGGGAGCTAGATAGCACAGCAACAGTAACCTCCAACGTGGGGCAAGATTGCAGGGGACATGAGGACATGAATCTGCGGCCAACGGCACTCTCTGATGGAGGGTCCGTCAGTGATTAGACGAAGAGGCTGAACTGAAGTGCAACACACCGTCAGTACGTCTTCCTTGTCGGGGCTTTACCCAGGATACTTCCTTGGGTGTCCGACAGGCAGGTATAGGTGTGGTCCAGGCAATGGCTTAGAAGTCCTGACAACAGCAAGCTACACTCCATGGCTCCATGTCGGGAGTCCATTTCTTGCACAATTGCAAAGTGGGAAACTTTGGTTATCAGCATCCTCAACCACTCCTGCCGCATCCTTTGTCCAGTTAGTGGCATTCTGCCTCAGGCTCCTCTTAGCAAATTCCCATGCTTAGAAAAGACTCAGGTGGTAGTCATTTACACATTAGCATGAATTAACTTGCCAGTGAATTTACCTCATTTAAGCTAGTTTAAGCTTTTCTTTCTTTTTTTTTAATTTGTTTCCTGCAAAAGGAATTATTTCCTTATTTTGTGAGTGTGTGTGTGCTGGGAGGAGGGTATGAATGCGAGTGTATGTAAGGGAAGTTTCTTTGGACCTTCAGAATTATGCTTTTAATGTTTGACAACTCACTGGGAGTCAGGAGACCTAAATGCCACTGTTCAATGATGTTTGGATCATGGAAGACCAATCACCTGAGATCACTGGGGGCCTCAGTTTTAATAACAAGTCACCACTATAAGTGCACACAGGTCCCAGATCTAAGGGTTTTACACAAATTAATTCTAATCTTCAGAACAACCTGATGAGGTTGTATCTACTATCAACTTTTAATCGACAGATGAGAAAACTAAAGCACAGAGAGGTTAATTAACCTTCCCACTGTCGCACAGCCGGTACACGTCAGAACCAGATATAAACTCGGGCAGGCAGGCCCCAAAGCACATCTCTTTAACAGTACACTCTATCATAGCCGTCCGTGCAAAAATGCATTTCTTATTTCTTATCCATCTCATAGGAAAGTGTGAGAGTGGATCTGGGGTAGCTGGCTGAAAAATGCTTATCTACCCCCACTTGAATCCTGGAACTAGGGGAACCTTTGGGGCTGGATATGTCTCCTTGTGCTTGCCCGTGCTAAGTGCTCAATTACACCCACGGAATTAGTGAATGTCTCCAAATGCAGTGTTCATGTTTTCGTCGTGTGCCCTTCCTTTTCTGTACGTTCCACCTCTCCTAAAACAGCGAAAGCAAATATCCAAAGCTTCTCCCCAGATAAGTCATTACCAGCATTCCCCAAATCTCCATGCTAGAGTCAGCGACAAGACCCCAAGGCCCTGCCTTTACTTGGAGTCACAAACCTGGTAAACAGTCTAAATTACCAGCAAAAGAGGAGCCCCACATTGGGTGTAGAGATTACTTAAAAATAAATAAATAAATAAAATTTAAAAAATAAATAAATTACCAGCAAAAGAGGAATGTGTAGGTAAGGGATATCTAACCACAGGTAAAATCTTATACGGGCACTAACACAATGACCGTAACTGGGAAATGTTTATCGGTGGAGTTCACCTATGCAGAATATGCCCAGAAACAAAGTCTGCTAATAGAAGGTCTACTCAAGGTTAGAGAGTACTCTTCTGTCTTTTCTTTCCTCTACTTTCAAATTTCTCTATGATGTATGTATCATTTTTATAATTTAAAAAATGAAAAGAAACAGTAACATGCATGCTAAGGGCTAGCAGCTCCTTGGAGGATCACATATTAGATCCGATCCTTTAGGTTAAGTCTCGTCCCCTCTTGCTAATCATCTCCTTGTCAACAACAGAGAAAAGCAGAAGCGGTGTCTAGCAGGAAAAGGAATGAATTTTGGGGAGCCTGGGAGCAAGAACTCTCTTCGCTTCCAGGCAGACATCCTGGGCATCGCTGGCATCCCATCTGTTTGGCTTCCCACGTTACCATCCACAGTTCTACTCCTTGGTGTGGGGTGCTGGGCATCTTAAATGTCTTGCCTTACTACTTTCTACTTTAAGCCGTAGATTCTCATGTTGATTTTCGTGCTGTGCCAAGGGGCCTACAGACTCTTTGTGCAAAAATTGTGCAGAAATTATAAAAATTGTGCAGAAATTATTTTGTCTGATCTCAACATACTGACAGAGGACAGCCTTGGATGCCATTTTCCAGAGATCAGGGAAAGGGATGTTCTGGTAACCAGATAATCTTATTAATACAGATTCAACATATGTATCATCCATAGTTGTACAGGAATGAAAGGCTATAAAGTAAGTTTATTTCAAGGTCATTACTGCAAACATCAGGGATCCTGAACAGGACTCTCCACTGAGAAACTGAGCCAGCTCCCTGCTGACCTCATGACATGCTCTGGTAATTGCTTTTAAAATAAATTCCAGGGGCACCTGGGTGGCTCAGTCGTTAAGGGTCTGCCTTTGCCTCAGGTCATGATGTCAGGGTCCTGGGATCCAGCCCTGCATCAGGCTTCTCCCTCTCCCCCTCCCCCCACCACCGCTTGTGCTTTCTCCCTCTCTCTCAAATAAATAAATAAAATCTTAAAAAAAAAATCCAGATATTGGTTTGTTGACTTGTCCCATCGTCCTTTCTAATGAAATGAAAGTTAAAAAATCACAGGAGAGGACTGTAGTTTATGAACCTGAGAAATATCAGAATTTACTCAAAGATTTTCCCTTGACAACATCCTTCAAATTATATGGTGAATAGTTTTTTTAAGCAATCCCGAAGACTGGGAAAGATCCAATACAGGTTTGCACCTCAATGATCTGGCTTCAGAGGAGAACATTAATAATTAACTACTTTGTAATACTTTTTAGCTCAATAAACCAGCCCTGGTCAACTGCTTTTCTACTACTGAGCCCCGCCTCATTCAGTCCTTGGAAACCGGCTCACTTCACTTGGCTGGTACTTATATTGAGAGGTACCTTTTTGTTGAGCCAGAAGCCCCACCGAAATAGAGGGGCAAGGACAAGAGTGATGGGGGGGTCCTCTGGTTTCCCATGGAGGTGATACAAATCTATCAAAGAGTGAGGCAAACGCATGTTTTTGGATGGCCTAGAATTTTCCCCTTCTCTTTAATTTCCTCTGGGAAAATGTTTTCTCTATTCTGTGGCTGGTTTAGGTTTTCCTTCCCTATCTCCCAGTAACCTGTGGAAGCCATTGCTAAGCTCAGTGACAACTGAAAGGGTCTGGAGGTATGCGCAGCACCCTGGGCTGTGGACTTGGGCAGTCGGCGGCCCGAGCTCCGTGGCTCGGAGGAGGCCACACACTGCTCTGAGAAGCAGCGCCCCCTATCCCATGCTTTCTATCAAAGGCAAATTAAAACTGCAGTTTGGCCAAGCCTACAGCCATGCGATTTTAATATCCCCTAGATAATCGCTCAGTTTCTGTCACAGAAATCATTCTGGCATGAAATAGATAGTAAATACAGTGGGACTTTCCTTTAGCAATCAATGCGGAAGGCGCTACCACACCTGGACCCATCCGCTGCACAGATGCTGGTGGAGTCTCCAACAGGGGCACCCGTGAAGGAACCAAAGAAGAGGCCGGGGACCAGTTGGGATGGGAACAACACAAGTGAGGAGGCAAAGAACACACCAAAGTCATCCTGACCAGCGGTCAGAAAAAAAAAATCTCGTCCATGCCTGCTCAGTCACAGAATGTGAACTTCCTGGAGATTTGTGCAAAAATTGGTAAATTGGGGGGAAGTTTTCTGCTGCAAAACTCCATAGTTTTCTTGTTGTTGTTGTTGTTGTTGTTGTTGTTAGAGAAAGAGAGGGAGAGAGAGTGCTCCAGCAGGGACGGGGGAGAAGGGGCAGAGGCAGAGGGAGAGAGAGAATCCCAAGCAGGCTCCATGCTCAGTGCAGAGCCCGACACGGGGCTCGATCTCATGACCCCAGGATCGTGACCTGAGCTGAAATCAGGAGTAGACACTTAACCGACCGAACCACCCCCGCCACGTGCCCCCTAAACTCCATAGTTTTAATCAGGTTTTCAAGCAGGTCTGGGATTCCAAAACCAGTTAACAATTGCTACTCTAATTTGTTGCCATTTGGGCCAATCGGGACAGAATCATCGTGTCCTATATAAACCTCAAAAAATCTCTAAGGATATGAATGCACTAAATTCGGTGGCTAGACAGTCCCAGAGAAAAGGAAGAGTTGCCAAGTGTCTGCTTAACCAGATCAGGCAGCCAGTTACTACAGTGCACCAGGATCTCAAAGGAGATCGCTTGTTTTAAACCGTGTACACGACCTAAAACCACTCTGTGATCTAGATTATAATCAAAATCCTATCGCTTCGAATCGCAGCAATGTCTTGGTAGATAAGTAACCAGGATTTTAGGTCAGGTGTTAAAGCAGCCCCTCAGGGGGGAAAAGAAGAATCTCAAATATGGGATTTATTTCATGAAATTAAATTAGAAGTTTTAGGTATTCTAATAACCAAGTCCAGGGGTAGAAAGGCCTTTCTGTAACCAAAAACTAAGCAGAACTGTGCTCTTCTGGTGAAAGAGCGGGTTTTACAGGATGGAAACAAGAAGCTGCTATGGGGTCACTTAATTAAAGCTCAAAATGATCTTAAGAGAGAAAGGGAGACGTGTCAGTTCTCCCAGAGGCTCAGTAGTTGTTAAATCGACTGTGTCCCTAGATTTAGTCTCTGACATTAATCATCAGCCCCACGGATTCTCAGAAGTAAACAGTGGAATCAGTCACAATGGCATCCCCGACCCACGAGGAGCGAAATCTCTGCGGCCCCGTGAAATCACCTGGACAAGCTCCATCATGTCCTTGACAAACCCGTCCACTTCCGGGCCTTCCAGAGCTCCCGTTCTACTCTGAAATAGACAAGAGCCTGTCAGTCAAACATCATTTTCTTAAGTCAGAAAGCTAAAGAATAAATTAGGCAAACTGTGTAAATCAGTATTCTTCTGTGGTTGCAAAGAGGTTCGGAAATGGCACGTTGCAGTGAGGTTCTCTGTGCAGAAAGTGAATGTTCCACAGACATGACAATAATTAATTGTACATAACGACCCCCACATAAACAAATGGGAGTTCCTTGGCTCTTGCGAATCTCATTAACATGATATATACCGACCTCATTTGCTTCCCAAATACCGGACTTCAGTACAGGCAAGTGTTATTTGCACATCGTATTGGTCCTTGGAAGGATATAGGCGGACATTTTTTTTATTGTGCTTTATGATTTAGCGAGGACTTGATGATTATTAAAGTTTTAAGTCAGGAGTGACTAGATTGAGTGAGTATATTAGAATTATTATTTGGTCTGTACACAAACCCTTATTTTTTTTCCTACTCATTCTATAAGAATGTCTATAAAATGTGATACATATTAAAATATTTCAGTTTCTTCTCTAAAGTGTCAGTCATGACAACTCATCCATCCATCTTTTCAAGTTTTCTTCACCCTGAACCTTTAACGTATCATTTTAAAAAATCTATTTTTAAAAAAAATTAGTGTATTTACTGAACACTACCTGCCAGGCACCCTTCTAAGAGCTTTACACGCATGAAATCACTGAATTCTCACACCAATTCCATGGGGTAGGTATTATTATTATCATCCTCGTCACCCTAACTTTACAGGTAAGGGAAACGAGGCACAGGGAAGTTAAGGAATCTGCCCAAGGTCACGTGGCTAACGAGGCATGATTCAAACACAGGCAATGGGTCACACAGCAACACTTTGCTGAGCTGCCTCTCCCAGGTGATGCTCCTTTCTGCTCAGAATGTGACACACTCAAATGTCCAGTCTGGTGAGTTTCAGGACGGCATCTCTTTTGACTTTTCCTAACTTTCTCATTTTTCTTCCTTCTTGCATTACCGTAACTTGTCTTCAAGAAATGCAATCTCCTTACCATACTTTGTGCTTTAGAATTATTATTTTCTCCTCTCTGAAGCAGGACCACATAATCAATCAATCCTACAAGAAAAGTAGTTTTTATGTCGACCAGGGCTCGCTCGCTTTGCCTCTATTTCTTTGGGTTGGATGTGGTTTTTAACTTGATTGTCTGCTTTTGTTTTCAAGCATACTTTTCTAAACAGAGATCAAGAAAGAGAAACTTTCTCCCAGTTTAGAGCCAGAGGGAAAAGAAACATGATTTTATTCTCTTCTCAACCATAAATTCTCCTTTGTCCATTTTAATGTAGTTTTCAGAAGTTCACATGGAGAAGCTGAGGGTATGACAATAGCAGCATACATGTGGGATTGCTATTCATCATTATCAGTTCAGGGTCTGTGGGTAGAATGACCCCCCCACATAGGGGCTAAACAAGCTTGCTCCCTAAAAGTAGCCAGCACAACCCAAAGAGACACACTTACAACATCATAGTGGGCGAAGATTTTCTCAAAGTCCCTCTTTCTTTCTTCAGTGGAACAAGCCTGTGTGTGGAGAAAACAGTATGTCACTCCAGCATTGGGACGCTTCCAATGTACAATTCTTCCAGGGTCATAGACAACTTTTATAAACTTTTATGATTTTTTTTTAAGTCAATGACCCTTAATCCCTTGATTCCAACAGTGAACCTTGCTGGTCTCTGGATAAATCACAGTGAGACAAACAGATGCCTTCCTTTCTTCCCTCCCTCTCGAATTTATGGAGAGACATGAATGACACAAGCCCACCTAGAGAAATGTCACTACTTACATCCATTTTAAATTGGAGAAGGAAGTTTTCCTGAAGAGCCAAAATCCTAAATGGAAAAGAAGAAAAGAAAGTAATTTACGTTATGATCTGTCAGCTCTCAAAGGCAAGCAGATCCATAACTCTGGCATGAGGAAAGGGCAGGCAACTTCCAGATCATTCTGCAGAAGAGGGTGACTGCTTGAAAAATGGGAATTTCTATACTATAAGAACAAATTAAAATATTAATTGGGAAAGACTTCCATAGGGATTAGTAGTCACCATAGAGAGACTTTTAAAAAGTCGTCTTGGTGGAAAATGGCAGAGGAAGGGCTTATGAAAACTCTCTCCTCCATAACAGCAATGAGAAGACTGGCAAAAAAAAAAAAAAAAAAGTCAAAATAACTTTTTCAGAATTCTAGAAATTCAAGGCTTACAGAAATCTGGGGAGTGTTTATTTTGGAAAAATGACTAAATCTGGATAAGAACAGTGGATTTTGTGGCTTTTTAACTGGCTTCATCCCTCCAACCCCCTCAGCAACATGGTATCTTTGAAAATGAAGAGCCCATAGTCCCAGGGAAAATGAACGTTCTAACAGCTGCTGTAGTGAGCAGAACAGAGTTGGAGCCCTTTCAAAACCTAACTCCCAGAGAATTGCCATTATTTGACTTCTCTGATGTTCTCTGAATGACCCCACTTGCAAGATGCACTTATTTGACCTGATTTTGAACTCACCTAGTGGAAAAGGCTTTTACCTGGGAGCATTTGTCAAAAACAATGAAAAGCAATCACTTAAGATAACAGCCGACCACAGTGGCAGGTAAGAGTTTGGTTAAACAGGGGCGCCTGGGTGGCTCTGTCAGTTAAGTGTCTGACCTTGGCTCAGGTCATGATCTCAGGGTCCTGGGATCGAGTCTTGCATGGAGCCAGGCTCCGAGCCCAGCGGGGAGTCTGCAGGGAGTCTGCTTCTCCCTCTCCCTCCCCCTCTGCCCCTCACCCCTGCTCATGCTCTGTCTCTCGCTCTCATAAATAAATAAAATCTTTAAAGAAAAGAGTGTGGGTAAACAACCGGCTAACTAAAAAAACTTAAGAGGAAAATCTGGGCGAATGAGATGTCCACTGGGGCTTGTTTAAGTTCCAACATATTTCTGGGAATCTAGAAAGCTGTAGACATGCATATGACTACATCCCTGCCCAGGACTGTGTGCATGCACTGAAAAGACCTCAGGAGGCCTGAAGGTCTCACCAGTGGCTTATCCTCAGGCTCTGTACAAGCAGAAAGTTAAGCCTAAGCAGAATTGTAAACTTCCTGGTTGCATGTAGAAGATGTGCCCCAACCCGTACACAGGGCCCCTCAACAAACATTGGGAGACATACAAGGAATCTCTGCCCAATCATTAACTAACCGTTCAGCAACCAAGCAGGGACTTCAGTGTCCACGTACGACAAAGATAAAGATTTTACAGGATTAGTTAGAAAAAGTCATTAAGCAAAAAGATAACAACTATCAACAATAAATGTGACCCATAAGAAATACTAAAGGGATTCTTCGAGCTGAAATGAAAAGAACATGAGACAGTTGCTTCAGTCCACATGAAGAAATAAAGAACCTCAGCCAGACATGAAAGGCCACATATTGTATGATTCCATATAAATGGAAATACCCAGAATAAGCAGATCCATAGAAACAGAAAGTAGATTAGTGGTTATCAGGGGTTGGTAGGTGAGGGAAGGAGAGAGGGGTATGGGGCATTTTTCTGGCACAAAAAAATGTTCTAGAATTGGGCAGTGGTGATGGTTGAACAGCCTTATGAATAGACTAAAGTATACCGAATTGTACACTTTATGAGTAAATGTTAGAATACATAAATGATAAGCAATAAAAAAAAAAAATACAGGTTTATTTTTTGGAAAACAAATGTATTCCCATACTTCCTGCTTAATTACAATTGTATTTAATAGAATACAGTCTGTTTCAAAAGACTAAAGCATTGGATTTATGTGGCACTCATAATCATGCATTCACAACATAGAGAAAGGCAGAAAAAGTATCACACAGCAATTTGGAAAATTCTGCTCTTCTGGATGCCCAGGGTAAAGAATTAATCTGAGCCAAGTAAAGGGTAGAATATCCTGGAACTCTCCGAGGATTCCTGTCCTATCTCTTGGTTGGCACCAAGCAGCCTAAATCATATTACCAGCGAGAGGACATGTACTTGAGAGGCGCTTGTATGTGGAGCAAGACAGCTGCATTCTAGAGCTGGGAATAGAGAGAGGAGTCCCGTTTATAAATGTTTTAAGACCTTTAAGTCATTCAGTTATTTCCCTATTGCTGCTGTGACGAATGAGCTCAGATGTGGTGGCTTCAAAGCACAAATTAGTATCTTACAACCCTGGAAATCAGAGTCTGAAGCAGATTTCACCAGGCTAAAACCGAGGTGTCCATGGGGCTGCTTCTTTCTGGAGGCTCCAAGGGAGAATCAGTTTCCTTGCCTTTTCCAGCTTCTAGAAGCTGCCTGCATCCTTTGGCCCACGGCCCGTTTCTCCACCTCAAAGCCTTCAAAGCCTGACCCTCTGCTTCCTTCTTCCACATTTAAAGGACCCTTGTTATTACTCTTGGGCCGACCTGGATAATCCAGACTAATCTCTGTAAGGTCTGTCAATGAGCAACTTACAATGCTCTCTGCAGCCTTCATGCATCTTGCCACATAACATAAAATGTTCAGTGGTTCTGGGAATTCAGACATGGACATCTTTAATCGGCGTACCCTCGTTGTCACTGTCAAATTCCGTATCAAATTGGTTTTGAAAGAAGATAGTAACTGTTTTGTCACTTTGCATCTCTGTTCAGTAAGAAGTCCATTCTTCCTTCAGGCCACAACTACTGATTGAATTCTCCTCTATACATAACACTCCACTAGGAGAGAAGCTATTTAAGAGACTAAGGCATACTTCCTACCTTCTGGGTAGGCCCCCAGTGGGGGATGTTTGGCTAGCTGCAGGGAGGCCTTTTGGTAATCACAGTGACAGAGGGGACATGACTGACAGAAGGGACATGACCTCCATAGATGGGGACTGGGGATGCTAGACGTCCTGCATTGCATGGAAAGTTCCACAGAATGGGGAATCATCCTGTGGAATGTCCAGGGGACCACTCATGTGTGTACAAATCCTGCTTGTAATTATACTTGAACCGAGAACTGAATTCCTATTTACATAAAAATCCAGGGCATTTTTCTCAAGGTATACATAATTTGCTAATTGTGTCAATTATCCATATAGTATAGTGAGTCATGTAAATTGAGGGATGACTGCACTTTGTTTCATTTGGAATGCTATCAACACTTATTTGTTATTTATAAAATTGTATCAACAGCAACTGAGTTCCTGACACATGAGTTGCCAAAAGGCCACATTTGCATCAGTCAACATCTGAACTGACATATTCACAGTAATTCTCCACCACGATGTGAGCAACAACCCCTCCCTTACCTCTTCCCTGTGGTTCTATCTACCCACCTATGCACTGAAATACACCTTATTTTATTATTACCTGTTTTCCTTTATTTCCCCTTTATGTGTTATAGTTTGTGCATTATACTAACTGTTTTAGCATTATGCTCACAGGTAGATTATATTATCTGTGGATTTTATTTGAGGAGTAAAAGTGTCATTGACGATAGGGTAGAGAGCAGTTTACGGCAGTGGCACACTCTAGCCTCCAGAAGGCGCTCGAGGCTCCTGGACTCACTACCTCTGAGAAGTGCCTTGAGTCAGGTGGGTGGGTGTTTTTTGGTGAGGGGAGCAACGAAATTAAATGCTCTTGTTTTCATCCAGATGCCGTGTTTTGAGTGAATCTTTTAGGTGTTTGGGTAATCCCGTTAGGACTGGCTCTCACACAGCTCTCAGAGTAGCTAGACTGACCTCTACTTGAGAGAAACGCTTGCCTCAGGTGGCCAAAAGAACTGTGAGAAGTGAGTGGGACCCAGGGGACAGATCTACAAGGCCACAGGGTGGAGATCCCTCAGTCCTCAACCTTTGGGAGAAACACTCTTGTCCCCCTCTGGTCTGGCTGGTCTCTCTGTGCCTTTTCTCCAACAAAGTGGCCAAATTTGGGACAAAGGTCCTGGGGAAAGTAACCAAGGAGGATGAGGCTCAGAATAGAAGACCCTATGGAGTGTTGGGGTCAATGTCCTGGTAATCACTAAGGAGAGGTTCTTCCTGGTGTGTCCCCATTCACAGATGCTGCCAAGAGAGGAGGTAGCTGGTACAGGGCTTTGTGATTCTGAACTCAAGTTAATATCTGCTTATGACATTGCCAAGTTAACTCTCTGTCACTGAAAATCACCCTCAGTCCGTGGACTCCCTGTCTTCCAACCACACCTGCTTGTGCCCTGCAGCCTGTAACTGCCACCCCCTGTCACTGTCCACACTACAACTCCATCCACCCCATCCGCAGGCCCCTGAGATCGTCACTGCTCCCCCTTCTGGGCTATACCCATGTATTCTGGATCCACTGATTTTTTTTTTCCTTTCTGTGACAATCACAGGTCATCTTGGGGTCAGCCAGTCTTGAGACGACGTGCTGACATCACCATCATGTCACAACACCGGCCTCACAGCACTTTCCCAGGCACTGGGCCACTTCTGCTGTCACCCTCGCCTTCCCCACTCTGGTCCTCGGGTGCTGGGTGCCATGGAGGTTACTTCAGCACCGAAAAACCAGACAGCACAGTCGTCCCCTATCCTGAACTAACTGCTCAGCTTTCCCAGAACCAGTGAATGAGATTCCAGACTTATATTTTCATGGGGTCCTTATGTGAGACCAGGAACGTCTGGCCTTTGAAGGCAGGGCTGGCCCACGACCCACCTATAACATTTTATGAAAACTTTGTGTATTGCGCATTTGGGGGGGAGTTTTTATTATCTTTACAAAGGCATCTGTCACCCCCAGAAGATTCTAAACAACTGCTGTTTATTTGGCCAGATGAGCCTCTTCTTCAGGGTTCCAGGCAAGACTTGACCTCTGCCTTTCAAAGGGAAGTGTGTGCGTCGTGGAACCCCCACGATGGTATGTCTGAGTCTGTGACACCATTCTCAGGCTACTCACCTCGCCAAGTCATTAAGATCCAAACGGCCATCCTTATTTTTGTCAAAGATCTTCATCTGGAATGCAGAAGGGGACACGACTGTAAGAAGTACTTGTAACAGGAATTCACTTTGAAAGTTACCAAAGCACTTTGCCATTTTGCCATTCCGATTCCACAGTTGTCTAAACCGCCTGAGGCTATGTCATGTCACAGGGTACTCCCTACAGAGCACAGGAGAAACACCACTTTTCCACTGAAGGCTGAAGGCATTGAGGAGAACGGGATAGAGGGGAAAGCCTGCCTCTCTAGGCTTCAAGGATTGTAAGAAGGAAGAGGGAGACAGGCAGAGACAGGGGTGTCCAGTGGACAGGTGTGTGACCTAACTCTGCTGGAAAGGGGTTCTAGAGGGAGGAGGGCACTAATGAGGAAGGAGTTGCTGTGGTTCAGCCTCCCCGAGACACTCTGAGCACCCAGGAATTTGGATGCTGGGTTGAGAACCAGTGGACTTGCCATGGGGCTGGCTGTGATGGGATGAGGTGATGCTGGAACTGAGGGCGGGAGTGGACCCCGGAGCCTCAGGCTGGAAAGAGGATGTCTCATAGGGAGACACTTAGCATGTCTGACTCCATGTTGCCTCTGTTTCCCTTGCTGCTTCAACGTATGGCTGACAGACCTCCATGGAGCCCTGCACATAGGCTTGCTACAGCTGAGATGTGCAAAATCCACTCTTTCCCTGAAACCCACTTCACCCGAGGAGAGAAGGAAGTACGTACAGAAATAACAACGCTAAGATTTACAGGGACACCATGACCGGATTCCTGTATGCAAAGACCAAGTAACCAGGGACAGAAAGTTTTCATAACCTTCCTTGGACCCCTGTGGGCTCCTGAACATCTACAGATATCAGTCACCTCTTGACTCCAACCTCCTTTTAAAATAAAAGAAGCCCACATTTCATGCTGAGGAAAGATGCTCTTGGGGACCACAATCTGCCACCTCCTTGGTTTGCTGGCTTTTTGAATAAAGTTGCTTTCCTTCCCCCAGCATCTTGCCTCTTGATTTACTAGTCTGCCGTGTGGTGAGAACATATGGACTCTGTTACAGATGCGGTAGAGAATTCGTGGCCTGCATCCAGCAAGAGGTAAAGGATGGGTGATGGATTGGCCTATATGTCCCAATGGGCTAGCCAGAGCTAAGAGCGTGGGTTATGAGCTCATCACAGACTGTAGCTGTGAATACCAGCAAGGCAGCAACTGAGTGGCCAAGAAGCATCATCCTGGAGACCAGAGGAGTCAGAGCTTTGTGCCCAGGTACATCGGCTTCCCACCTCCACCATTAGGGCCCAAAGCCATTTTTCTCTCCTTGATGCCATTTTTTTTTAAAGATTTTATTTATTTATTTGAGAGAGAGACAGCACATGAGGGGTGGGAGGAGCAGTGGAGAGACAGAAGGAGAGGAAGAAGCCGACTCCACACTGAGCAGGGAGCCCTACTCGGGGCTCAGTCCCAGGACCCTGAGATCATGACCTGAGCTGAAGGCAGACACTTAACCAGCTAAGCCACCCAGATGCCCCTCCTTGACGCCATTTTTGCAGAAGACTCTGGGTTGGACAAAGATGACTGAGAAATCAAAGAGGCCAAGCTCCTCCTTTTGTGGAAAGACTTAGCATTATCCAAAGAGACTATTTAAATTATTAGATCAGACGAGGTTTTATACAAGATAGGATTCAAAGTTAAAATCAGGAAGACCAGATTAGGCAAGATGGAGGAGAGACATTTCATGGCATAGTTGAGTCATAGTTACTGAGTGAATTTGTGACTTCACAACATTTTAGTGCAGCAGAATATCTCTAAACATATTTGTAGGAAGAGGCTATACAGGGGAAAAGAGGGAATGAGAAAATCTGAGAGTATGTCTAACAGATTTTTGCATTAAAAAACAAATCTGTCCATCCTTCCTCACTCCCTAAATCCAGTTTCTTTTTAATATTTGAAATGAATTTGAAAGTCCATTTCCCTAAAACTTTAGCATCAAAAATGTATATTACAGAATCTATTAAAACACAGGTTATATATTTATACACTCGGATAATATCACACATCCAATCACGCCCCTTAAACATAAATTCTATATCCAGTAAAAACCCGAGAGCAACATATTTTGCTGGAGACTGAGCCATGAGTTATTTCCCATGACACCATCATTATAAAAGGTTCTATTTTAATAGAGAGCTAGATGATCTTGAGCTTTAAGCAAGTAGTAACTCATCTCGAAAAATGTGGGCCCATCTCCATTGCTGTGCAAATTACTCAAAGGGGAAAATGCCCTTTGCTCAAAATTGGCTTGAGGAAGAACTGAACACCAGTGTGGAAATCATGCTTCTATCCATCAGAAAATGGGCTACTTGATTCACTTATGAGGTTCAGCAAAGTGGTCTGAGTCAGAGCTGTGGACTGAGGGTCATCACCATTAGCTGGTATTTCAAGTCATGAGGCTGGTTGAGATCACCAGCACAGGAGGGAAGAGCTCTTGAGATGGAGCCCAAGCGTGTTTCCCATCAGCCCGGATCAGAGATTTGAGTGTCTCCATCTATGGAAGGAAGCAGCTCAGAAGCCAGCGACTTCCATCCAGGCCTGAAGTACAAGGGCTGGGACCAGGGTAGAGGATGGGACAAGCTTAACCTCACATGTCTCTCTGTCTGCCATAGTCTCAGATTTTAATTTGCACATTTCAAGAGTTCAAGTTCCACACTCTAATTAGGTGCATGAACTTAACATCTCCCACATGCATTAGCTTGCGTTTTTAAAAGTTCAACATTACCTGATAATATGCTATTCGGACAGCTAATCTTTCCCCCTGCCAGGTACTGGCAGCCCCTCTCAATTAGATGTCCTAATTGGATTTTGTTAATAGGCTGTTTCCTTCCTTGTCCAGAACATTAATTAGGAGTTAGAAGAAGGTTAGATCTGCAGACCTCGACTTTTCGCTTATGATTCAGTGCTCTGCTGTGACTCATTCATTGTTCAGGTTGCAGACAGCTTTCAAACGTGCCGATCCTTATTTGGGTCTATTTGAATTCATTTAGCAGGTTACATTTCCTAAGTAAAGCATTTGATGTGAAACCCCAGAACCAGATCTGTAAGGCAGAGCTGCTCCCACTGTACCCATTGCTCAGAGAAAGCCATTAAAGCAGCCGTGAGGTGGCTTCACACTTGGTGTATCACTTAGTTAGACTAAGGTTCACACTTGGTATATCACTTAAACCAAGGTTCACACTTGGTGTATCACTTAGTTACACTAAGGTTCACACTTGGTGTATCACTTAGACTAAGGTTCACACTTGGTGTATCACTTAGACTAAGGTTCACATTTGGTGTATCACTTAGTTAGATGAAGGTTCTAAATCTCTTTGGAGAATATTGAGTTTCTGAAAGTTCGTTCACCCACAGGTCACTAGGGAAATGTAAAAAGTCTTAAAAAAAAAAAAAACTATCATCCAGGTCCCAAATATGTTCATTGGAAAACTATATATAAGCTGCCTCTGAATTTAAGGAAGGCCACTGAAATAGACCGGCCATAATCTCATTAAAGTCATCCAGTCTTCTGGTTAGACTAGGTCTCGGGGTGGAAACTCTCTTACCGGATTCCTCAACACTTGCCTATCACCTCAAGGTGTAAAGAACCTGTGAGGGGCCACTTGGATTTGACTGATCATGAGCCTCTCCCCACAGGACAGTTTGGATCAAAATGAGTGCTTCTGGGCAGCACACAGAAGCAGAAGAACCACAGGCTTGGACAACGAAACAGACACCAAATAACAGGACAGTCTTGGTCCATGGACGGTTCTCAACCCAGATACTCACAAGTTGGGTGAGACCACTCGGATTCCCCTCAGCTAATTCACAGGATTCTCGACTTCCGGATGCGAGCCAAGAGGCATCAAAAATTGCACGTTGCCCGATCTTCTTCAGCCCCGGGCATCCCAAGGGAGTAGTGGCCAGCCTGAGGTTAAAGATTGAAACCTAAAGGCGGTTCAGAGAAGCGCTCTGGGCGACCAGGGTTGCCGGGCTGATGCGTGATGTGCAGAATCTTTCCAGCCGAGTGTTGGCTTGGCGAGCAGCCCACGAGTCTCCATGGCCCTTCCTGTCCCTTATGATGGGTCGTTTGAATGAGATGACCCCTGGGGACTCTCTGAAGTCAGAGTTATCTTTTCTTCCCCGCCTCCTGCCCCAGCTTAGGAGCGCTTACTCTTCCCCAGAGTGATTTTGTAGAACCCTTTCTCCTTCCCCATTGTCTTCCATCCGTTTCCTATTTTGTGTTGAATAAGATGTCAGTTCTTGGGATGATTCGCAAGGCGAAAAATCCATCTTCCTAGGCAATAAATTCTGGTGTGGCTTGAGAGCTTGAGCTCCTGTATTATGGCATCTTTAAAAACATTAAGAGAATTCTAATACCCCAATGGGGCTTTGTCCTCACCTTGCTCTTCACTTTCTTCAGAGGAATTGTCATCTCTCCTTGATCCCTCAACAGAGCTTTACGTTTCCTCTTTTGAAAGTTTTCTTTTTAATGACTTAGTATTTAAACTTTCAGACATGGGTATTGTGGTGTTAAATGCAGGCTTTGGAGATAGATTTGGGTATGCATTTCCACTCCATCCCTCCTGTATTTGACCTTTAAAGTCTGTAATTCTCAGTTTTTTTAATTTATAAAATGAGGGCTAAGAAATAACTTATTTTTATGAGGTTGTTGAGAGAATCAAATGCAATGTTTGAAAAATGCTTTGCACAGTTATTACGAGTCAAGTACTCAGGACTGGAATAAAGTCTTGTTATGTTGCAGCGAAAACATCACATGTTCTCAGGGGAGAAGGCATCTTAAAACAACTCAACGTGAACTCTGTCCATCTACCTACCTTCTCGTGTCCTGCTTTTGAGGAAGCTCTAGAATTGTGGCTTCCTTATGATCTGCCTGATTTTTGAAAGGTCAGGAAAACGGGATCTCAAGATAAGATTGCTGTATTTAGGGACCAAAGGCAAAATTGAACTCAACTTGTAGGTGGAAGGTCTATGACAATGACCAGCACAGTGGGGATGTACGGGAGCGACCAGAGGGAATTTTTGCTCTTTCCCTCCTTTACCAAATTTTTCCTCATTGGAAGATTCCATACGATGAGGGACCATATCTGCCTTGGTAAGTTCTCCCTAAATATTTGTTGAATGAATGAACTCACATCTTTGAATGACCTAGTTTACTAGATGGTATTCTGACCTGGAAGAAAAAAGCATGAAGGGAGTGAGGGTTTTGGTGAGGGAAGATATGCTGGTCTCTTTGAGAATCTACTCCTCAGCCCAGAAAACATGTGTGTCTCAACTTAAGGAACGTGGTGATGTGGATTCTGAATCCACAGGGATGTGTCGCCGGCCTGTCCTGCTGGGATTGTCTGTTCAGATTTGCTCTGCTCTGCTTCCTGCGCATCTTCCGGCTCTCACCGCCACTCCTGGTGCCTGGTTTCCTACCCCTCATCCCTCTGGTCCTCAGCATGGGGCAGGACCCCAGTGAGAGCCATAAAGGATCAAGCTCAGCACTTCCAAGCTCTCCTGGCTCGGCCCCAGAGGATTTGGTTTAAAAAGAGGGGGGAAAGGGAGAATCTCAGAACATGAAGCGCAGCTTGAGGAAGGCTGGACCTGTGCAATCTATGATCTACAAGGCACCTGCCCAAGGGGGATCGAGAGCCATCATGGGGGTGGAGGGGCTCAAGGAACACCGGCCAGGGAGGCAGGACAGTCCCAAGGGCAAACTTTGCTTTTGTCCTCATGGTTTCTTATTTTAGCTGGCTATTAGGTAGCCTGCCAATTCAATTCTGACAATTTGCATTAAGTAGCCTACTGTGTGCCCGGGCCCACGGGAGGGCAGGGAACTCAGAGATACGCCGCTGCTCTTGCGCTGGAAGAGTCACTGGCTGGGAAGGAACTAGATCCATAAACAAGTGGTGTCAGCATTGTTCTTGACTCCAGGCTGACTCGTCAGGAATCCTGCTGAATCCTAAGAAGCCCTGCATGGTCCGGCCTCTGGTGAGTGGCGCCTTCGCTTACCCGGCCCCGGCCCCGGGGCTGTCTTCCTGCCCTTGAAGATGCCGGGCACACGGCTGCCCCAGGGGCTCCGTGCCTGCTGCTGGTCCTTCCCCGAGCCCCCCGCCCACCTCCCCAGGCCCTCACCCTCGCCACCTCGCCGGCGTGGCCAGTCTTCGTCCTACTCTACCTTTACGTTTTTTCTGTGACACTCGTTACCCTCTGTCATGCAATCTTATTTATTATTTATTATGTTTCTGGTTATTGTCAGTCTCCCCTTTGTCTGTTGTGCTCATGGCTGGGTACCCGGCGACCAGAGGGGTGCCCGGGGCATAGCAGATAGTGGGTAGTTGTGGGATGGGTCAAACCGATGACCGTGATGGGCACGTCAGCGATATGCACGTGGTAGTCCGGGCACACAGAGGACAGGCACCTGCATCCACTACAGAAGAACGTTTCTGGAAGGTTTTCTAGGGCAAGATGGTGTCTAACTGAATCTTGAAGGACAAGCAGGAACCAGGAGAAAAAAAGGAGGGAAAGAAGAGTTGAGCCATGTTAAGAAGTGAGGAAGAGGGGGGCCTGGGGGACTCAGTCGGTGAAGCATCTGCCCTGGGCTCAGGTCATGATCCCAGGCCCCCGGGATCGAGTCCCTCATCAGGCTCCTTGCTCAGTGGGGATCCTGCTTCTCCCTCTGCCTCTGCCCCCCTCCCTCTGCTTGTGCTCTCTCTTTCTCTCTGTGTGTGTGTGTGTGTGTGTGTGTGTCCAATAAATAAATAAATAAATCTTTAAACAAACAGAAAAAGAAGTGAGAAAGAGGCAGTTTAGCATTATAGTTGAGGCCAAGGGAAGCCCCTCAGAATCAAAGGTAACCAAAGAAATACTAGAAGCATGCTGGAGATCCTAAGTGAGAGTATTTCATTGTGTAGTGCATGTTTTTTAAGTGAATAAAATCGAGGTAACAGCAGTGCTGACATGGTGTGAATTCAAGGTTGGAACAGTGCTCAGCTGGAAACATGATCGGCTTGTCTTTCTCTGTCCCAGGCAGTTACAGTGACATCACCCCTTTCATAGTCTTTATTCGGCTGGCGGTTTTCACTGGAAATCCAGTGGGAAAAACCCAGAGATCTCCCCGTACTGGGAAACTGCTTCCTGCTTCGAGGGGCTTCCCACTTCACCCTTCAGAGTCAAGTACGTGTTTACTCAGGATCTCAAACACCACAGAGCAAGAAGCCAAATTATTTCCTTCATTGAGATCCTGGCCTGGGGTTTGATTCTGTCCTTGGCATGGGCTTCTCTTGTCTGGGCCATTTACAAGTCCTCATGGTCAAGAACACCTTCCCCCAGACACCCGTGACTGGGGGCAGCATTTGGGTAGTCAGAGCGCGGAGTGAGCGGCGGGAGGGGCCGGGGCTGAAAACCAAGAGGGCTCAGCTTCCAGTTTAACTGGGGCTTTTGGTCTGGTAACTTAACTTTCCCAGTTACCCGATCTTTGAAGTGCATTTAAGAATTCAACTTGGCGGGGCACCTGGGTGGCTCAGTCGGTTAAGTGTCAACCCTCGGCTCAGGTCATGATCCCAGGGTCCTGGGATTGAGCCCCGCATTGGGCTCCCTGTTCAGCAGGGAGCCTGCTTCTCCCTCTCCCTCTGCCCCTCCCCCTGCTCAGGCTCTCTTTCTCTCAAATAAATAAATTAAAATCTTAAAAAAAAAAAGAATTCAACTTTTGACTCTGTCACTTACCCTTTCTAAGCCTCCAGCATCAGATATATAGCATGAAATAGCACGAACAATGCCAACCCTGCCGAGAAGTCATCAGAAATAACACCGTATTTGGAAACATCACGTAAAGGCCTCAGTAGATCAACCTAGTGGCACACATTTTATGGGAATTCACGACCTCTTCCCGATGGTACGTGCTCCTGACTGTGCACCAGGAAGTTGAGCAATGTCAATCTGGTCAAGAATGCCTCATATAATAGATGTAACAATCCTGCAAGTAATTAAGTCTTCACCAGCCATTTCCTTGCTTATTAACTGAGAAACCACCTACAGAGTTGGATTGGAATGAAGCGCGCATCTGGGGACGGGGAGGGGCTCACAGGACATGAAAGGCAGGGGACCCAGGCTGTTGATGGGAACCAGGAGAGGTATACCATGTCCCTAGCTGAAACTGAAGGTGAGGACACAGGTGCCAGAGGCATCTTCTCCCACACCACCATTTTTCAGGGAGCTTTGACACCTAAATAATCTCAGGGTCATTCAGCACATGGATGCCGCCAGGGGGCAAGCAAAATAATGACAAGGACCATAGCAAGCACCACAATAAGAGCTAACATGTCTCATGTCCCAGACACTTGCCCAGTGCTTCCTCTGCATCAACTCCCTTTGCCCTTTCCATAATAGGGTCCTATTAACCCCCCATTTTACAGATGAAATAAGTAAAATTGAGAGGCTTGACAATCTCCCAAGGTCATAGCTAAGACGTGGCAGTGGGGGGACACACATCTCCCATCTATCTGACTCTCCGTCTCTCTAAATCAACACACTAAATGAATAGAATCATCCACTGTGCCAAGAAGCGGCTCCCATGTGTTTGGTCCTGGTTGTCTAGGTTTCTGATTGCCCATGTTTACCCTTTTCTATGTGACTTCCAGTAGGATTGAGCTCATTGGCCTGGTGCTTAGTAACCTGATGTTGACTGGACTTCTGGTCTCCCAGGGTTGGGTGAACCACTTCCCACCTCCAATATATGCAGCCTCAGCCTCAGAGAGGGGCTAAAGTGGCTCAATTTTAGCCAGTGTTTTGAGAGTTGAGGTTTTCTCTTGCATTCACTTGGTCTGCGGAGGTTCACTGGGGCACTTACTCTGCGCCTCTGTTTCTGGACCCCGGGGCGGAGGGGGGCAGCTGCCCTGTGGAGATGCCATCGCTCAGTTACTTACCATGGTGCCAGTATATTCTTCCAGCTTAGCCTCAGAAATGGCCTTTTCGTGGTGGAGGAAGAGGTCTCGGAGGAAGTTCTGTGACACCAAGAGAAGAGCCACATCTTATATGGGAAGATCTCGGGAGGCCTTACTTTCAAGGATTGTGGTTCATTTTTTTTTTTTTTACAGAGAAAACAAAATGCTTTTAGCAAGCCATAAATCCAAGAATGGGGAAGCCTGCCCCTGCTTAAAGGGAGCTCACAGAACCCAGAGAATAGCTCCAGGCACAGAAAAAGTGTCAAAAATCCTCAATTATGTGTCTTTCCAAGAGAGAGCAATAACACCTGTACTTTCTAAACCATTTAAACACAAATACATTTTTTTAAGTAACACATTCAAATCCATGTTTCTTGGGCCCACAGAAATGAAATTCATGATCCACGTACATCAAATTCCCAGCGATGGGGGCGCCTGGGTGGCTCAGTTGGTTGAGCGACTGCCTTCGGCTCAGGTCATGATCCTGGAGTGCCGGAATCGAGTCCCGCATCAGGCTTCCTGCTCGGCAGGGAGTCTGCTTCTCCCTCTGACCCTCCCCCTTCTCATGTGCTCTCTCTCACTCTCTCTCTCTCTCTCTCTCCTCTCAAATAAATAAATAAATAAATCTAAAAAAAAAAACAAAAAACAAAAACAAATTCCCGGTGACGAACCAGCCCCTCCCCCCAGCGAGAGCCCCTCGCGACACGTACCCGCAGCTCAGCAGCTGATACAAAGCCACTGCTGTCTGCATCGTATTTGCGCCAAATCTGAAACACACGAAAGCCAGGCATCCATTTATAAATCCATCAGCCATGTAAACAAGCACACACCCAAGGAGGTCACGCAGGAGTCTGTCCCGGGTCCGTGCGCTGACGCTGAGAATGTAGCCTGCAGCTTCATCAGGAAGTTGCACACAAGGTGGACAGGAGGCAAATCCTGGGGCCCAGGCAAAGGTGGGGGTTGTCAAATTGAGGCACCTGCCTAAAACTAAAACCCTTAGTGAAAGGGTGAACCCCTCCAAAATAAACTGGGCTTTCGGAAGGCCCTAAGGAATCTTCCCTGTGTGGCCTTGGCTCTGGGTAAAGGGAATAAAACATCCTGGGTAATTCCCAGAGACAAGACAAGCATTTCATTGGTTTTAGGGTTTAAGCGCAGCATTCATCCCGCTGAAGATACGATTACCAAACTGGAAGAAGAACAACTGAACACTTTTGTAGAGACACTGAACTGCTTTCTCTAATAAGTGATGTGATTTGGACCACCTCGGATTATTCCATGTATAAGCCTCACCGGTTGGCGAGTTCTCGAACACCGGTACAGAATCAAAAAGTAGAGGCGCCTGGGTGGCTCATTCAGTTAAACATCCAACTCTTGGTCTCAGCTCAAGTCTTGATCTTGGGGTTGTGAGTTCAAGCCCTGCTTGGGGCTCCATGCTCAGTGTAGAGCCTACTATAAAAAAATTTTAAAAAGAAAAAGTAGCACTAAGGTTGTTGTTTTTTTTAATTAATTAATTAATTTGACAGAGAGACAGAGCACAAGCAGGGTGAGTGGCAGCCAGAGGGAGAGGGAGAATCAGGCTCAATGCTGAGCAGGGAGCCCAATGCGGGGCTCGATCCCAGGACTCTGGGATCATGACCTGAGCTGAAGGCAGACGCTTAACCGACTGAGCCACCCAGGTGCTCCTAAGTTGTTGTTTTTTTTTTTAACTGACAGATTTTTCTGTAAATGTAGAATGGGTTAGCTGAGTCATCCACTGCAGGGACCTTAATTCTAGATCCCGGTCAGCCAGCCCTGCCTGAGCACCCTGCAGGGGTAGTGGGGATATTGATGGGCAGTATCTTCTCAGAAGACTGAGAAACCTCATGCCTTGTAGTCCCTGAACTCAGCCAGACTTACAAAACCAACTATTTAAATATAAATTGTATTCGAACTTTTACCGTGTGAATATACCAAAACTAAGAATGAGAATTTCAAATAATAAATAAAACCATTTCCATGCTTTTTTTTAATGTTATTCTCCAAACATTTTCCATCTACCTTATCTTACAATCTTACTACAACTGAGCCAGCCATTGGAGGCCCAAAGGCTTTTATGCAAATAATGTGCATGCTTATCTTTAAAGAATGAAAGCAAAATAAGGAGATTTCCAGGCAAACAAAGTTTTTACCAACAGAATTTAGTACAGGATAATACTCTGGGAAGGAGGGACACAAGGAGAATCTAAGTCACAAAAAGCAATGGTGCATAAAACAAATCTTGACTGCATAAAATTTGTGGGGTTAAAGAAAACAAGACAGAACTCATATCCTGGACAATCACAACAGGTGAGTTGGGCGCCATATGTCAGGATTAAAGTGTTTTAAGGTCCTATGGCTCAGGGGGAACGTAAAGGCATTAACTTAGAATTCTTAAAAATATATAGAGGATGGTAATGGGTTATAATAAATTTAACTTAAAAAAATCAAGAGTCTGAAGTGATATATATATATATATATATATATATATTTTTTTTTTTTTTTTTTAACTGGGTAGAGAAAGGGAAAGCTCTTTGTTACCGAAACAACTGACCAACTAGAAGGGAGGGGGTAAATGGAATAAGTTAAAAGAAAAACAAAAAGATAGGAAAGCTCCATAGTGCTCTTTCCTTTTTCCCATTCCTCAAGATTACTCTATACTATGCAAGGCCTAGCATTTTAATACTGTTTTTCTGATTATAAGAGTAAATCATATTCACTGCACAAAATTAATGAACTACAAAAAGGAGAAAACTACACTCTGCAGATACACACCTATCCCAGGTCTATCTGTGTGTTCCTTTCCATTGTATTTCTATTACACACATGACAAGATTAACTTGGAGGTCATATTGTCTATACACTTGGGCAATCTGTTTATTATTTTCATTTAAAATTTTCTGAGAGCATTTTTAAGCACCGTTAAAATTATTTTGAAAATGTCACTTAAAATAATTTGTAAATAATTATGATTCTGTGCACAATTGGAAAATATAAAAGTACAAAGCATGTGAAAATCATCTGAAATCTTACCACTTAAAAGCATTCAGTGTTTATCTTATGTGTATCTACCTATGGTCTAATTTACGTAGATGTTAGGGTGAAGCATTTTTTAAATAATACTAAGATCATAATGCACGCATAATTTTGCTTCTTAACATTTTAACGCATTTCCTCCAAATACAAACATTTCTGATTATACCCTTAAGATAGATGCCTAGGGGCGCCTGGGTGGCTCAGTTGGTTGAGCGACTGCCTTCAGCTCAGGTCATGATCCTGGAGTCCCGGGATCGAGTCCCGCATCGGGCTCCCTGCTCAGTGGGGAGTCTGCTTCTCCCTCTGCCCCTCCCCCCTCTCATTCTCTCTCTCCGTCATTCTCTCTCTCTCAAAAGTAAATAAAATTAAAAAAAAAAAGATAGATGCCTAGAGCAGTAGACTTATTAAGTCAGAAGGTAAAGATATTTTTAACTTCAGATAATGACATTTTAAAGGATCCTGATTACATTTTTGCAAAATTGTTGTTCATAAAATTGTTGCAGTGCGCATGCCTACCAACAGATCATGAGCATCAATCTCAGTGCTTCCTTGATGGCACCACGTATTTTGTTGATCCTCTTAAAATCCTTACCACTTCGATTAGCAAAAATTAGTTGTTTTAAATTTGCATTTCTTGGCAACCAGCATACATTTATTGTCCATTCAGATCTCTCCTGTGAATAGTCTATGCACGTGCTTGCTCCATTTTATGACTTTCACTTGGTCCGAAGTAAATGCAGTCGTGCAAAAGGGTACTAAGTTATTATCTCCTAAATGGGGACTTGGTAACTGTTTCAGGAATGGGCCCCCAGCTGCAGTAGCTGCCTTGAGTCTGCTCTGACTTTCCTAGTCTTCTTTCTCCAACAGACAGTAACACCTAGAGGCTGAAAGAGGAGTTAAGAGGAACCACTGACTGCTTTCAGCTTTCTCTCGAGCACAGCGATTGCAAACAGAAGGCTGGATGGGCTCGCTAGTGAGTTACGTTTTCATGGTATTATACCTTCAAAACTAGAATTAGTGGCCAACATATAAAAACAAGTAGTTTCACGTAGAGTCTAGATGTCCAGACAGCATTCTGAGAAGACAGCAATTCGCCGGAGCCCCCCTCCCCCCACGGGTTCTCTGCTTTGGATGGGCACCTGCTCTCTGGGCTCCAGAGTTCCCAGCCGACCCCCGTCATATTCCTCCATGTCGGCCTGCCGGCCTGTTGTCTGGGCCTCCTCTAGCCCAGGCTGAAGGACTTTGTCAGCTGGGGAGCAGCCTAGGGCAGCTCACAGAACACACTGGGGCTTGGGGCCTGAGTTCTGGCTTGTCACCAAGGGCTTCTTTGCTTGGTCCTATCCTCTGTGGGCTTGGGGACTGGGCAGGAGTGGGGGCCGCCACGGTCGGTGGCTGGGATCCTGGCTTCTTCTCAGGCCTCATGCTCTGTAGAGACACAACCCGACACTTACCTGCATAAACTCCACACTGCTGTCCAAGGGGGTTTCCTGACGAAAGAGCAGAAGGAAGTTTTCATCCTCAGACAAGAACATGTTGGCAAGCTAAAGAAACAGAGAGAAATAGCCGTCAGCCACACTGGCCAGTGCCCCCTGGGTGAAAGACATGGTGGGACATACTGTAGGACAGGAGGGCTTGGATTCCTCAGGACTGAGAGCTCAGATGGCAGTTCTGGGCCCTCGACTGCCATTTTGGATTCACTGATGCTTTCAAACAGCATTGCACCGCTACGAGGTAAGGAACACGGTGGGTACCTCTGCCTCCCACGAGTTTACGATCCAAAATCATAATCCTAATTTTAATAATAAATTTGTCAGTGCTTAATATGTTCCAGGCACTATTTTAAGACTCTCCCATATTAAAATAATTTAACTCTGTCATATAATAGAAAATTAAAAGAGTGAATAATTCTTATACGTGCCACGAACTGTTCTAAATTCTTACAGATGCTTACTCGCTTCATCCTAACCACAACCTAGAGAGTACACAGCACACGACCATTATTACTTATTCCTTAAGGAAACTGGAGCTTGCCTTAGTTATGTGGCCAGTAAGTGGTGGCACCCGGACTAGGGCCCTACTCTCCAGCTTCCCGCCATGCTGGGGAGATGCTGTACACACGGTCTTGTCACGCCACAGGCACAGAGAGGAGCGACTGCCGTCGGTGTCCTGAGCGTCGGCTGTTTTTCTTCTTCTGCATTATCGGTGTCTCTGTGATGCTCCCATTGTTGGTCCAGGTATGATCCATTTCTCCCTCCTTCTATCTGAGCACCACTTCTACTGACTGATGTCACTTCTCCCATGAGTAACGGTGACATTTTCTTCCCCTGAGTGACTGTAACTCTCGCTTCAGCACGTGGGGGTGTTTGGCTGGGCTCATCCCACCCTACCGTACTGTGCTAGGGCTGGCTTGCGTTGTCCCCCGTAAAGAATGGCCATTCCTTCTATCTCCGCGGTGAGTGCCCCGCCACAGTGAGTCCAGACAGAGGCCGTTGGTGGCGGGTCGGCATCACGAGCCCACACACCTACTCACTTCTCTAGTTGGATGTGGGTCTGCTCGAGCACCTACCGTGTGAACGAGAGCATTCATATTTTGAATATCATATATCGAGTAGCTACGATGTGGCAGGCACTGACGACGTGCTTTTATGATCTCACTAAATTCTCATACCGGTCCTACTGGTAAGTAGAAATACCCCTTTATTCATGGGAGCAGGACAGTGCAGTGTCCGTGACAGGCTTCAGAGGGGATCCAAATTCCTTCTCCATCGCTCGCCTGTTATTTGATCTGGCACAATTTAATTGATCTCTCTGTGCCTCAATTTCCTCACTTGTAAAACGGGGATTGTAATATTTATATCCTGGTGCTTATGTGAAAGCCAAAAGTAAAATGAGGCGCTACTTATAAGCAAAATTGAGCAAAATTCCTGGTACAAATTAAACCCTCAATAAATGCTAATACCGTGTTGATGAAGACCATGAACCAGAGGCTCGGGAGAAGTGACTTGGCCAAGGTCTCATGTTCACCACGTGGACTTGGCGCTGCCTCGCCTCCCCTCTTTCCCGCCTCACCCCTGCCGCAGGGGTCTGGGCCAAGGTCAGCTAGAATCGGCCTCTGCTCTTCAGAACTACATGCTTTTTCACACGGGGTAGCACAAGCCAAGAAACCAAATTAAAATGTGACTCAATGGTCCTCAGCCTTTAGAACCCAGTCTGTCTTCAACTTTGATTGGAGCGGCACAGAGGGGCGCGGACAAATCAGATGCACAGATAACCCACCAGCCTGGCTTCGGGTCTCAGTTGGAACCTCTGCCTCATCTTAGTTGTGCTAGAATATCTAAAATGTTTCCAGGTGGGCTGATTTTTTTTTGTCTCAACGACCTGTGATTGGAGTGAGACAGAGACAGCAGGAGGAGATGGGGGAGCCCAGCTACTCCTTAAGCTCACAGACTCCAGAGGCTTTAAGGGTCCTGGGACTGAGGTAACCCAATCGCATCAGCTTGTCTACACACAACACCTCCGTTATGTGCATTTGCGGGACTCCATGACTAATGGTTGGCCTGGGTGTCAAAGTTGTTGCCAGGTTTCCAAGTTCTTCAAGAAGCTCTGCCTGTTGTTAATAAGATAACACCATCGTTTCCAGGCATTTCCCATGTTTCATTTATTCTTTCTTAAGCCCACACGTATCTACTGGGCATCGCTAAATGTTCCGCTCTGCTCTGTGGCCTGGAGAACGCGGCAGTGAACATGCGGTCATGTGTCCTTTGGTATTTCTAGCTTGAGGCTTCCACTTACTTTTCCTTGAATGGACATGCAGATTGCTTTACATCAATTATACTGTAGTTGTTGGTGACATATATAATTTTTGCCTTGGAGTGAAAATTTTGGAAACGCTCATACATCTAGTGTTCTGAGGAGGCTGCTTCCTTCCTGGTGAACACGTCTACTTTTTATAAGGAGACATTATCTTGCCCTATTATCATAACTTTCTGAAGAGAAAGGTACTATGTGGGCTGAGCTGAAGTGAGATAGCTGCTGTCCGTTTTGTTCCGAATGATCTCCAGGGCTAGAGCTCCCCAACCTCCCCTGGGACCTGATGCGGGAGTTTCAACTGATTTCTTGTTAGTCAGTTTTTCCTTATACCCAGGTTGGATTTGAACAGCACACAGCAAAGAGACATATTGGATTGAGTAACTGCAAGGCCTCCAGCATATCAACGCCCCAGTTCTAAAATAACTATAAATGTTGCTTGACTTAAAGAAACTGATATGGGTTGCTAGGCAGTTGGAAAAGGAGAGGTGATTACTTCAAAATGCTGGGTAGGTCACTGGCCTGGCAGAGAGTTCTAGCTTCCCAATCAGATGTAAGATTTGCATTATCTTTCAGGGGAAATGACAGCCCAAAAAGGCTCGGTCAAGAAAGGGACAGTCGGGAAAAGGGCAGTCCGGAAAGGTACCTCTTTCATCTGCACACGCCCATCTCTAGAGACATCCTGGGCAGCCATAAATTGTTGTTTCATTCTCTGCACATTTTCTTCCATGCCTGCCTCCTACAATAGGCCAGACAGAACCACATTAAAGCCACGAGGATTCCAAAAATATAGTCAGGATATCAAATATTCAGAGCATAGAGCCTGATCATTACGTTAGTCTACCCGGAAAGCAGGTTACTTAGCCATTTAAAGCGAGCCTCCCATGTTGAACAAGGGAGAACAGTGGTGGAGATTTCTTGAGCAAAGCACCACTGATCAGAATCCTGAGCAGGTGAGACCTACTGGTTAGTGGAACTCCTAAAACATGAATGACGGAAGAGAAGCTGAGAGACTAGGTTTTAAGGGGCCTCCGACTGATGTAACCCGATCCCGTCAGCTTGTCTACAGACAACACCTCCATTAAGCTCATTTGCAGGACTCCCAAGTTCTCTTCCCAAGAACTCAGAGATTTTGTTCTGTTTCTAAGTGAAACGCCCAGCTCTTTTAGACTGCCAGTCTGCCATCGCTCATCCCTTAATCTTCTCCTTGGGTCCACTGAGGAAAAAAAATAATTAGAAGGGGAAAAAAAGCAATAAAGTAGTTGTTGAATTATCAAAGATGCCTCATCTCACTTCCACCTACAACCTTTTCTACATACTAACTTGTTCTTCGTCAGTGGACTGAAGTGTTCGTACAAAGAAATATGACATATATAATCAACAGTGGAGAAGAAATTCTGATGGAAGAGTTGAGAGGCAGAAACACTCCCCAGCAGTGCCAGATCCCAAGACTCCAGACCCTAGCAGCCATGCTAAATTCAGTCTCCCTAATACTTTCCCTAATCCGATCCCGCTTTATCCCTGCCAACCAGGCTTCCTCCTGAGACGCCCCACTACATAGAGAGAGATCAGCATCTCTAGTCTTGGCACCTCGGATTGTGTGTGTTTGGGTTTGGGTTTATGCATTGCATACGTGCACCATATAGAAAAAAATGTGGTGGGGATCACTCCACAAGGTGGGTCTTCTCTTTGCATTTCAGGCTGGCTTTCTAGATTAAGAGATCTGCAAGACAGCCGTCATTTTTGTATCTCTGAAATAGAGTATCTATGGAATGAATACATGGTTCTTTATGGTGGGCTGGGCCTTCCCAAAGGACGTTAGCAGACATAGGCCACGTGGGTGGAAAATTAAGTTTCAAGATAAACAAACGTAAAGCCAAAGAAGCTGTGGCCAGAGTCTATGTGCTGCCTTTAGTTTGAAGTCACAGAACCTTGACTTTTGTCCGCTAACTCCAAAGCCCATGACTATCCCTTGGACCTAAAGCAACAGAGCCTAGGGGCTGCCTCTGTTGTATTTCCCAGCTGCAACCCCCTGCCCCCTTTCTGTGAGACTCTAGGCCCCATCGTCTCTGAAGCATGGAAGGAGGCCCACGATGCGCTAGAATCTGACAGGAAGGACGTGGACACAGCCCCAGAAAGTGATGCTCTGCTCTGCACTCGCTCTCTCCAGACCTAGTTCAGAGGCCAGTTCTGAGCATTTGAAAGGAAAAGGCGGGGGGCTGAGGGAAGGGGTGAGTAACAGGAACGGCAGCAAAAACAGCCGATGCTTCCATTAAGTCTGTCCCTGCAGAGGCCCTGAGAAGCAGGGGATCACACAGGTTCCTCTCCGAGCCTGAGCAGCAGGCCCCTCACTGTTGGCAGCCCTAAAATTCCTTCCTCCAAGGCCTCTGTGACCTGCTAATCAGGGAGGAAAGTAGAGCTATTCAGGCCTCTGAAGAACGGCTTGCCACTCCTACACCACAGGGCCAATCCTGGAGGCCTCCCTGCAGCTGCTGCTTTACCTGCTGGGGCATTCCTGATTAGAGGCAGGGGTCACAAATGGGGACTGTCACTCAGCTTGACGCACGTCCACTTGGGAAGTCCCGCCCTCTGATTAAGGACATGCTTAGGGCCTACTCCTTTCTTGGCAGGGAAAAAAAAAACCCAGAATCAGGAATCAGGACTAGTTTCTTTAATCATGGTTGTCCAGGGGGCATGGAGGGCCCAGCACAGGCTCCTACAACCGCACTCCCCAGGGTAAGGTCTCAGCATTTTGAAACAGAATAATGGCAGACAATGACATTTTTGGACAATGGCTTATACAACTGATCTTGTTTCAAAAGCTCTCTCGCAGCCACGCGCTGAGAAGAGGAAGGTCGGGTTCCTGCCTGAGCCCAGAAAGACCAGCCTGAGTCTATTAGAACCCTGCCCTCCCCAATGGGCAGTCATTGTTCCTGGAGGGACAGAGGGTGAGAGAGATACCCACTGACTTAGGGTGATTTAAAATGCAAGATCCTAGGCAAACCCCAAATGTACTGAAATTCCTCGGGGATGGGACACACAGAGGCACAGGACACTGGTGAGTCCCTTGTCTCCTGTCCTGCGAGGACCATGCCTGCCCCTGTGTGAGAGGGCAAGTCCCCAGACTGGCTCTGAGGGGGGTAAGAGACGGAGTGCCCAGCAGGAAGAGAGGCACCCCTCTACTCCGTCACCAATGACAACAATGTCTCCAATGTTAGCCAAAGCCCCAGAGGAAGTTGGCTCCCGGTGTCCTTGGCTCAGAGCAGACACTTGCTTTTTAGTAGCCCCACCCCCACTTCATGACTGAGAATAAGACACTCCTTCAACACGGACAGCAACTTTTCTCCTTCTTTCCTATAAATCACGAAGGCAAGGAGCTTCTGGAAACGTGTGGAGTTCTAAGTCGCTGGGAGGTTGGGTTGGGTTCCTGGACCATCCAGTTTATTCCAAGACTTTGAGTGGTTCTGACTTCATCTATTTGTTTTCCTCAAATACTCCTGTCCTGCATTACAAAATGGCGTCTGACTCATGGGTTCTGGAACACTCTGAGTCCTAGTATTTGTGGCAGTTAGTAGGATCAAGGCAGAGACAGAGAGAGACCGGGAGACAAAGACAGAGAGTGTTAAGGGAAAGAAGGAGAAGAGAAGAGAAACCGATGAAAGATAAGAAAGAACTCCTAAAACATGAATGACAGAAGAGAAGCTGAGAGACTAGGTTTTAAGGGGCCTCCGACTGATGTAACCCGATCCCGTCAGCTTGTCTACAGACAACACCTCCATTAAGCTCATTTGCAGGACTCCCAAGTTCTCTTCCCAAGAACTCAGAGATTTTGTTCTGTTTCTAAGTGAAACGCCCAGCTCTTTTAGACTGCCAGTCTGCCATCGCTCATCCCTTAATCTTCTCCTTGGGTCCACTGAGGAAAAAAAATAATTAGAAGGGGAAAAAAAGCAATAAAGTAGTTGTTGAATTATCAAAGATGCCTCATCTCACTTCCACCTACAACCTTTTCTACATACTAACTTGTTCTTCGTCAGTGGACTGAAGTGTTCGTACAAAGAAATATGACATATATAATCAACAGTGGAGAAGAAATTCTGATGGAAGAGTTGAGAGGCAGAAACACTCCCCAGCAGTGCCAGATCCCAAGACTCCAGACCCTAGCAGCCATGCTAAATTCAATCTCCCTAATACTTTCCCTAATCCGATCCCGCTTTATCCCTGCCAACCAGGCTTCCTCCTGAGACGCCCCACTACATAGAGAGAGATCAGCATCTCTAGTCTTGGCACCTCGGATTGTGTGTGTTTGGGTTTGGGTTTATGCATTGCATACGTGCACCATATAGAAAAAAATGTGGTGGGGATCACTCCACAAGGTGGGTCTTCTCTTTGCATTTCAGGCTGGCTTTCTAGATTAAGAGATCTGCAAGACAGCCGTCATTTTTGTATCTCTGAAATAGAGTATCTATGGAATGAATACATGGTTCTTTATGGTGGGCTGGGCCTTCCCAAAGGACGTTAGCAGACATAGGCCACGTGGGTGGAAAATTAAGTTTCAAGATAAACAAACGTAAAGCCAAAGAAGCTGTGGCCAGAGTCTATGTGCTGCCTTTAGTTTGAAGTCACAGAACCTTGACTTTTGTCCGCTAACTCCAAAGCCCATGACTATCTTGGATTGAGTAACTGCAAGGCCTCCAGCATATCAACGCCCCAGTTCTAAAATAACTATAAATGTTGCTTGACCTAAAGAAACTGATATGGGTTG